AGAGCTAGGTTGCTTCAGCAATAGCTGGGTCTTGGCTGCTCCAGAGCTTAGTGAGTTTGTTTATTTTTTGTTTGTTCATTTTCCCCCAAAGCAGGAATAACTCAGTGACAATAATTAATGGTCCCTACGTGGGAGAAAAGATTCAAACAAGCCAACCTCTAGCACAGGAACAATTGCAACTAGGGCCTAACGCCCTTAAGCTGATGCTGACTGCATCTCCCGAAGTGTCCATCACTCAGTATATGGATGACATCTCCTCTCCTGCTCATCCTACTAACACTCAAGTGAACGCTTAACCTTCATGATAAATAAACCAACAGAGCATCATTTAAAACTGTGGGCCATGTCAGCTGGGTCCATCTTATCTTACCCATCACTCCTGATGATTCAATCCCACTCTTTAGTTGCTTCCTGGAGACCTCATTTACATTCTCTAGAAATGCAACATCTGAAGCAGGGCAGGTTACCAGATTACTAAGTAATGCTGCTCTGAAGTGGTAGCTCATAGAATTAATCCCTTGCTTCCTTATCAATTGCTCATCTCTCCTCTTTTTTACTTACTGGAGTTATGTATCAACAAGGTATTATAAAAATGTATGCATGTCATAATTCTCCACAACACACTGTTAACTTATTTGCAAGAATAAGTTATAAGACTTAATAATGGCGAGAAGGACATGTCTTAAATAACTTATTGGCAAAGAGCCTACAGAAATCATTGTGCCACTCAATAAAATGCAAGTTATTTGTTCCACACTGATAATAATTGACAGGTTGCATTAGAATGTTACTTGGGATTTATAGGTAATTATTATCCAAAAGATCCCCTTTTACAATTTTTTAAGATACCTATGGGTATTGCCTAAATTACATCTAAAAATCCTACAGAGGTTGCTTTTAATGCTTTTACACATGGCTCTTGAAAAGGACAAGGAGCATAGGTTTTATATACAAATTCCACATGCTCTACAAAAAGATTGTACCCACCCCTGGTTATACAGCCTGAACCTCTGTAATCAATCGGCTCTTATTAGAGGCTTCTCAGCTGCTAAATATTTTTAAGTATTACAGTAACCTATATTGCCTCCATTTTAACTGTTCAACTGTGCACTTATAGCAAGACGGGAGCTACAGAAGAGATCTATGTCTCCGTAGTTCAATGAAACTTTATTTATAAACTATGGCAATACTCCCAACTATGTACAAAAACAGATGCAAGCCTGCAGGACGGCTCAGTGCACAGAAGTGCTTGCACACTGGACTACAACCTGATTCAACCTCCTGATCCCACAAGGTGGCAGGAGAGAGCTGTCCTCTCATCCATACAACCGTGCACACCTGTACACACGCCCACATATACACAACCACATACACAATACCAAAGAGCTTTGGATGACAGTGTTTATGAAGCTAGATTGATATTAACAATGTCACTCTAAATGGTAGTTTTCCCAGGGTAAATTTCTATTTGGCCAGAAAGATAAGTATTACCTGTACTTTAAAGAAAAGTATGTTGACTATATAGAAATTATATTTTGAAAGGAAAACCGTGTCTCTTATCATCTCTAAAACCTAAGAACTTATTTTGGGAGTGGGGGTGGGTGAAAAACCAGGTGAAAGAATAGTAACCCATGAATTACTGCAAAGGTTGGTAGAAAAACTACACTGAGACAAAGAAGTGCAAAGAAGTTTTGCTTCTGCAATCCAAAAATCCTTGACATCACAGCAAATGGGATCACAAGTGCATATCAAGACCAGGCTTCTTTGAAGGATATTTTAAAGTGGAAACTTATACTTTTAGAGACACGAAGACAAAAGGCCACACAAAAGGCATCTTATGCAGAATGTATTTTTCTTTTCTATTTGTTATTTTTTTTTCATATTAAGTGGGCATTTTCATCAACAATTATGGCTCACTACATGGACATGGCCTCTGGAAAGGAGTCAGCAGGATGCTGGGGAAGTGGATGGGTAAATCCCAGGATAGATCCGTTTTCTTCTTCTCCATCCTCCAATCCTCACTTTAGAACTCCCACTATCTATCATGAGCTCTCAAAGTACAGAGATTTCTCCACTAGCAAAGCCAATTCTTGAACCAGAAAATAAATACATGTGCTTTCTTTCCTATTCAAAAGATTAAGTTCATCTAGGATGTAAAGAATTAAATAAAAAAAAAAAACCCACAACTTTAGAACTAAATCTATGCTAACTAAATAGCTGAGGCTCTTTTCTCTTCTGAAATTATTTAGTGGAATCTTTTTGATAAAGGTAGGCACCTGTAAAACATATAAGGAAATGTTTTCTACTTTTTGGTACAGGGAGGGGATGTAAAGATGAGTTCTCAGAATGTTGCCCAAGTTTACCTTGTACTCAGGATCAAGTGATCCTCTGGCTCACTGTGCACATATGAGACTACAGGACAAGTCGTACACCACCAGCTAATCCTGTCACTTGTAAACCAGGCTTGACCTTCAGTCTGCAGGTTAGAAACTGTCAAGGGCCACTGCCCCAGCAAGCTTCCAGAGCTGGCTCATCCCTCAGCATTAACCCACCGAGCATGACATTGGAACCCACCTGCAGGGACCAGGATCTGAACACGGGCTGCTGCACAGAGGGGCTGGTGCCTTGCCCTTGCCTGACATCAGGCTCTACAGTATGGGCTCTGTAGCGGCAGGGCTCCCAGGTCTGCTGCCGGACCTGCCGGAGACTGCTGGAGCCCGCCACATAGTAATCAACTCAGGTTATTCAGTTAGGAATAAGTCTAAAACAAAAATTCTAAGTATTTAAAGTAACTAAATCTACCATCATGTTAGATCTGTTCCCAAATAATTTTAAAAACTGGATGAATCTACATTTCTTTTTTTTTTTTTAAGAACATATCTATACAGAAGAATTATCTCATTTTCTTTGGGAAAGAAAATATCAGTTCTACTACCTAACAGCAAATAAATAAACAAATCATAATAATTAGTGTTCCAGGGCCAAGTTAAACAAAGACCAAAATTAGGGTCCCCCACCACCACCACCAAAAAACCCTGCTAGCTAATTATAATTGACATTACAGAGAAGAGGAATTTTTTAATTGATTGTATTATTATTTGTGTGTGTGTAAATTCATGTGTGTGAACACACGAACCATTACACATATGTAGAGGTCAGAGGTGGACAACTTTCAGGGGTCACTCTCTCCTTACTCTGTGGGTTCTAGGAACTAAACTCAGGTCTTCAGACTTGATGGCAAGCACTGTTCCTCCTCCTGGCGAGTCACCTAGAGGAATTTTAACTTCAGTGTTAATATAACAGAATACAATCCAGATGCTAATAGGGATTTTGCTGTTTTGTTTTTTTGTTTTGAGACAGGGTTGCTCTGTTTAACAGCCTTGGCTGTCCTGGAACTTGCTCAGCAGGCCTGGCTGACCTCAAACTCACAGAGATCCTCCTGCCTCTGCCTCCCAATGCTGGGATTAAAGGCGTGTGCAACCACTGTCCGGCTCTAGAGTTTGGTTGGTTTTCTTTTTTTTTAAACAAACATGCAATTTATAAATTTAAAGTTTTTAAGAACTTTTCCACATGTAGGAATAAGAGTATTTCCTAAGCAGGACCTTATTTATGACGTTTTCATTAGGGAAACAAGTTGAAGGTTGACTCTGTCATCTTAAACTGCTCTGGCTGGTTCTATTTACACGAGTGGACTTGAGTCCCAACAAAAGTTGGTGAACACGGGCATTGAGATGAGACTTCAGTTCGTTTGCTCTGAATCATATTTCAAAACTGTTGGGTTAAGTAAGATTACAGACACATAAGAAATGTGTAATCGGAAGATTTCCTGTGTCCCAGCCGGCTGGTGGTCGGGACAAATCTCTCCCACACACGTCCCCCAAGTAAACACACAGAGGCTTCTATTAATTATAACTGAACGGCATGGCTCAAGCCTTTTGCTAGCTAGCTCTTATATCTTAAATTAGCCCATTCCTATTAATCTAGGTATTGCCACATGCTCCATGGCTTTACCCACGTCCCATTACATGTTGCTCCTTGAGTGGCTCCGGGAGGCTCCCCCTCCTTCTTCCTGTCTCTCTCTTTGAATTTCCTGCCTGCCTCTAAGTTGCCTTGCCAGAGGCCAAACGGCTTTATTTATCAACCAATCAGAGCAACACATATTCAAAGTGTACAGAAAGACATTCCCCCATCAGAAATGAACACCACATATGGTAAATAAATAAATAAATACATAAACCAGCTCTACAAAATGCTTTGAGGTAAATTCTATTTTACTAAATCCTCTTAACAAAGCTTCACAATAACCCGTGAAGTTCACAAAGCACCTGGTATTATTCTCATTTTACATAAACAAAGCAGTAGAGCTCAGATTTAAACATCTAACACCACCCTTTACACCTCCTCAGTGTTACTTTCTGCTAGGGGCCAATGACAGGTGAGGCCTCAGGACTGTCCTCCAAGACACACAGGATTTTGACAGGTGAGGACGCCATACCACTGAAAGAAAATAATATATGCAGAGATCTAGAAGCAGGGAGTGTAGTGAAGGGGATGCTAGGCTGGTTGGCATAAGGCAGACAGGGTGACAGAGATGGACTGACTGAAAGCATGGAGGGAGCTTTAAAATCTGGTAAGTGCCTGCACGATGCTGCAGGCAGAAAGAGATCTAATGGTTTGGAAGGGGAACAACACAAAATTCTCATGGTATGTTTTATACTAACAACAAATGTTTGGTAAACTAATGACAATGTGTTAAAAACAGGCTAGTGCTGTGATGAGATCAGACTGAGAAGACCTCTGCAAAGCACTAACTGGTCTAAAAGAAAGAAAACTAGTTGAAGGCAGCTGCCTGCAAGGTACAGATTGAAGATCACACACAGACTGAGAGCAGCGTGTCTGCTGACAGGGTTCTTTAAGTTCTCACAACCCTCCTACAAAAGTCACACCAACATCCCAAATTACCTTCAATTTTCTTTTCTTACACTTTATCTAAAACTTACCGAATCTTCTGGAGGTCTCTGGATTTTACCCCAGTCTACAGAAGGTCCCTTTTCTTGCAAAAATCTATGATATAGCTTCCGAAATCCATCAAGATCTTTTTTAGTGTGCTATGAAAATAGAAGTAATTGTTATAAACAGCGGAATGTTTAATACATAGTAAAACTAGATACAGACTACACTTTAAAAATACCTTTAAGTGAAATTCTTAGACTATTAGAATATAAAGTAGGACCAATTTTTAAGGTCTGTTCGAAACTGAAGTAGAAAAACTAAAAAGAAATTATATTTAAATGATTCTTTAACACACAAGCCAAACTTATCCCCTATCTCCCACCAGTCAGTTATCATATAACCTGAACAATATTTGGTTCCTATAAATTTCAACTCACTCCCTATTACATACCAGTATCTTTCACTACTTCTGAGTGCAAATAAATTGTCACCAAAAGAACAAAAAAGAATGAAACATAGCTAACCTCAGACATTAAGTACAAACTGAAATTGAAAAATAAAAGGTAAAGTGCTACCAGAAAAGCAAAGCTTCTCAATTCTGGGAAACACCTATGGCAGCTGTCACAGCAGCACCGTTCTGCTAGACTTGGCTTTGGGAAAAAGGTATGAAGAGTACATGGTTAACAGACTACCTAATGCCTTACAGATCCCACCAAACACAGTAACCATTTCTCTACCCAATGATATTAAAACACAAAATAAAGTATGATTTTTGTCCATACTCTTTTGGTGACTCAGGAAATTTCCTCAGCTTGGAAAAAAAAGACAGCAGCTTTACTATGAGCAAATGCTAACGCTCCTCGGCTGTTGAACAATGAATGCTAACTTTCTCACGATACATCCCGCGCTCATTTCAGGCTGGAAAACCACCACTTGCAGCAACTGAGCATGCTGACACACGAAGCAAAAGACACTGTCAACCCTTACCTCAAACTCATGCGAGGTTGCTGTTGTAAGTATTTTTTCTAATTCTTTCTTCACAGATAATTCTAGTTCTTGGAGAATGACTTCTTGGAACTGAGAAGCACCATCTTGAGACATAGCTTTGCTAAGGTCTTAAATAAAAAAAATAAAAAGCCACTGATTAAAATCAGTCAGCAACAGAGACTTATGAATTTTGTTATTTCCAGGTTAGTTAAGGTGAAGACTCACTGGCCTTTGCTTTTTAACAAAATGGAGGTATGCTAAAGAAAGTGTGATGTCTACTCTTGACTGTCAACCTGACAACATCTGGCTTAACTAAAACCCAAATAGCTGGGCACAACTGTGAGGGATTTTGCTTAATTAAGTCATTTGAGGTGGGGAGACCCACCTTCAATCTGTCCACACCTTCTGCTGGCAGCCTATATGGAGGACATGGAAGAAGGAAGCTTTAGCTCTTTGCCTGCTTGCCTTCACCCTCATTGGCAAGTTCATTCCTTCACTGGCATTAGAACCTATTCCTTTGGGATTCCAGAGCTTACTGAAGGCCAGCTGAGAGACATCCATTCTCAAGGACTAAACAACTACTGGATTCTCAAACTTTCTGTTGGGATACAGCCATGCTGAACTAGCTGGATTACAGTCTGTAAGCCATTCTAATAAATCATATACATATATATGTATGTGTATATAAAACATCAAAATATATAAATATTATCTATTGCATATAACATATAAACATCACATATAATGAGTATATACACTATATAAAAATATATGTAATATACTATTAAATTATAACATTAATTCACATATAATTAAATGTTATATATTATATGATATAATATTCATTCTATATACATATTCATTCTATCAGTTCTGTTAGAAAGAAGCCTATAAAAAGATTTATCAGTGAATAAGTGAGAAAAAGGTTATCAGTAAATAAAAATTACTATACTCTTTTACAAAATCAGCAAGGGGAAGATTAATTAAAACTATGGATGCATGAAAAAGATACATAAAAATCCACTACTTTATAATCTAAAAATACATTAATAAATAATTATTTAGAGCATGGAACAAAGGTACTTTTCATGGTTAGATAATGCTGCTCCCAGATGTCACAAAGTTTCTAAACAAGAACTCAGTATCAGGTACAGAATATCTTCCTATAAGTTGCTGGCCAAAGAGGTCTAACCCCCTCCCCACAAGGAATACAGGCTGTTGCCACTGCCATTGTTCTTGGTTGCCTCCCAAAACTAGATGGTAAGACCTTGTTGCTGAAGACACCATACAACACTCTTTATTATAGGACACAAAGAAATGAAGATAGAACTGATCTGGAAACGCTCTCCCCACTGGGCAGTGTTCACAGTACCAGAAGGTGCTATGCAGGCTGCTGGGGGGAAAATACAACAATAGTCCCATTCAGCAATAGACCAAGTACTATAACACTAACTCATCAAGTAAGATATATCCACTGGGGCAACAGTGGTATGACTATTCTAAAGATAACCAACTGCTTTGTGATTGCATTTGAGGTCTGCCTCCAAGGGAGGGAATACACACTTGATACTATGTAGTAGGACAGGCCTACAAAGTCGAGGAAATTGGCTCAAACCAGTTGCCAAGGCACGCACATAATGTACTTCCTTATGAGCCAACCTGGAGTCTGCCTGAGGGCCTAGCACCAGTTGCTGTCAGAGTTCCTGGTCACTGTCTGAGTCCTGATCGTGCCCAGCCAATGAGGGACGACCATGCAATGCCACGAGATTGCAACACAGACTGGGTGCTGGGAGGAGGATATATAAGGCCTCCCTGTTACTGAATAAACAAGTTTGCTGTTTGCCTTCAACTGACTCCCCGTGTCTGTGTCGTTGACAACGCGCCTTCTCACACCCTTCCCGAAGGAGCTATTAGGATCCAGCAACAATACTATAAACCTGGTCAAAAGCCTGTAGCTGAGGAGAGCCTGGCCCCAACAGGAAAACACTAACACTGTTTCCCTGTATGAATATATTGTCAGATTGGTTTCTAAATATTTATGTTTATACTCATAGACTCATGTAAGTCTCAGCCTGAGAAAAAGCTCCTTTTTGTGGAGGCTGATAGTTAGTGAAAAGGCTCATATTTGATTAAGGCGCTAGGAATAAGTGACTGATGCGCACTCAGCATTAAATGAGACATCTCCATTCACAGTTCCCCTCCCAAAGCCTACAGAACATCACAAAAGAGAGTGGAAAGAATTTAAGAGCCAGAGGATAGAGAGTGTCGTTGTTATCTGATATATTACTACTATCGCAACCATGAACACATACATGCACAAGACTGGGCCCTCTAACTTCCTACCATGGACAGAGGAGATGCCCAATCAGGCCTGAGTTCTTTCTGAGAACCTAATAACTACTAATGGTTACTGGAGAAGGGTGTGTCTTCTTTCTGATGATAGAGCCACTGGGGAACTAAGGAGGAAGAAGGGGCTCTGAGGGAAATGGGGGATACCAGAGGGTAATGGGGAGTGAATATAATCACAATACATGGAGAGATGGCTCAATGGTTAAGAGCACTAGCTGCTCTTACAGAGTACCTGAGTTTAGTTCCCAGCTCCCACATGGCAGGTGCAATTGCTAATTCCAGTTCCAGGGGCTGACACCCTCTTCTCACTCCTGCAAGCACCAGGCACACACATGATGCACTTACACACATGCGAGAAAAACATTCATACTTATAAAGTTGAACTGTTAATCTCCATTTCACAGGAGTTTAGTTTGAAAGTGTCACATATCCTAAAAGACACAAATTTTATATGATTAACATACAAAGTTTAAGTCAGAGCAACATGATTATGCCAACTGATGATCCCAGCAAGGGGGAGAGACAGAAAAGTCACACGGTCATCTTATTTCACAAGAACTATCCTCTGTAGCCTGTTCTTGAGGGTAGTTAATACATTGAGAATATGGTGAGATATAAAAGAACAACTTTAACAAAGAATCTAATTATGAAATAGATTAAAAGGAAAACAATATGAGGGTATAACCACTAAGTACCAACAGTGGCAAAAGGAAAATAATGAAGAAAACCAAAACACGGAGTAAAGTTACAACCACTGATGATAGATTTACAAATCTACCTAAACAGATTCATATAAACAGAACTTATTATAGCTACAGCCAATGCTACCTGGCATGTTAGTAGCCCATAGACAGGATTTAATGGGAAGGCCTGTACAAGACCTGAACTACTCTTTCTTTCAAAGTTTAATTTTGTATTATTACCAATAATTTTATTTATTTTTTTGTTTCTACTTTTCTGTTAGGTATTTATAAGCAAATGTAAATTAACCAAATTAACTTTTTCATTTTTTATTAAGGTCAGGCAAGGGTCTGGTCCACAGGGTTAACTTGGGACTTGGTAGGAGCCCTTGACTCCTTTAATTTTCCTTATCTATATCACTAGCTGGTATGGGTAAAGGTCTTGCTGACTCTGTGCTTTCTCTTGGAAGCACTGGAGATACCGTCCTCTGTGTTGACCCTCTTGTTTGTAGAATGTGCTCTGGTTTTGAGTCCAGTCTCTGAACCAACAAGACAGATGTGCTACCAGGGCTGTAGGTGAAAAGTATCCATCATCCCATGGAATGCAGATGCCCTGGGGGCAAGGACTAAAATACTGGCTGCCTCTTTAGTCTACCTTTACATTAGCACAGACCTTCAAGTATGGTTACTGAACAACACCCATGTCAGTTACCAAGTGCTGAAAAACAAACCTTGCTTTAAAATTTAGTTATTGCTTGGGAAAAACATATTTTTCAAGTAAATCTGATTTAAGACTCAATTGCTTTGTTGTTTTTGTTTTTTGAGAGAGGGTTTCTCTGTGTAGTTTTGGGTCCTGTCCTGGATCTTGCTCTGTAGACCTTAGAAGCCTAACACACTTAGTATAAACTATGAAATTTGTTTTGATAAAATTTAAATCCTTTTTAGATTGATTTTTTTTTTTTTTTTTTTTTGGTTTTTCGAGACAGGGTTTCTCTGTGTAGCTTTGCGCCTTTCCTGGGACTCACTTGGTAGCCCAGGCTGGCCTCGAACTCACAGAGATCCGCCTGGCTCTGCCTCCCGAGTGCTGGGATTAAAGGCATGCGCCACCACCGCCCGGCTAGATTGATTATTTAAAGAAAGCTGAAAGCAGCAGGGCCATGGTGGCACAGCCTTTAGTTCCAGCACTTGGGAGGCAGAGGCAGATAGATCTCTGTGAGTTCAAGATAGCCAGGGCTACAAAAAGAAACCCTGTCTCAAAACAACAACAACAACAAAAACAAACAAAAAGGAAAAGAAAGAAAAAAACTGAAAGCATAGTGTTAAATAATTTTCTCAATTTTAATTTAGGAATAACAAGCCTAGAAGATAATTGTCCAGATGAGTGTAATTGTCCATGACAAGAAGCTGAGCCTTGGAGCAGAAGCCCTCAAGCCCTAAGAGTTAGCTTATTTTCCAGCAAGTCTTCAGACTGCTTATAGGATCAGAGCAGAGAAGGACCAACCAAGAAACATTTCAACCCAGACTGTTTATCTATTTTTTTTTGTTTTAAAAATTTACCTTATTAATGAAAATGAATATGGGCTACACTGACAGTTTTAATTACCTATAAGCCAATCTGGTAATATGTAAACATTATAAAAACATAGCACACATAAACACACATACACTCCAATAGTCAGATACAAAGATATTTTTAAAACTACCAAAAATTTTGTATTATCTGGAAGTTAGACTGCTGATCAAATCATCTTTTATAGCCATCCTTAATCTAAATCTGTACTTTTAAAGATATTACTTTTAATACAAATAAAGCATATGAGTTTTTACTTTTAAAGACATGGAGCCTAGCCTGACTGTTAAAGTTTTAAGTAGGCTGAGCAGGAACCAACAGATTGGTTTCTACATGGTCCTTTCTTTCCTTTTTCTAAAGCTTAAATGATAAGAGACTTGAAAAGCCTGTTTTTGAAAGATGAGATCACAAGTAGATTGGCAGTGGGTTTGTCTTTTAATAAAGCTGTTAAAATTTACTAACTAACTTAAGATACTAGTTATTAAAACTAAAAGCATAACCATTTTTACCATACACAATCACAATGAGT